TGGAATGTATACAACTAAATTATTCTGGGACGGTAAACCAGAAAACTTGTCTAACAATTTCGCGGTAGCAAAACGAAGATTTCGTAACTTAAGTATAAAAATGAAAGAAAATGATTGGGTTTATAATGAATATAAGAATATAGTTAAGGAGCAATTAAAACTGAATATCGTTGAAGAATATCCTTTCGGCTTAGAAGATGGTTCTTATTATATGCCTCATTCAGCTGTAGTAACATCGGATAGGGACACTACGAAAATCAGATTAGGTTTTCGATGCATCGTCAAAAAGTAATGGGTGCAAATCTCTTAATGAATGCTTGAATCCTTGGGCCACCGTTGAATCCCAGAATTTTGGATGTAATCTAGCGATTTCGCGAATATGAATATGCATTCAGCTGTGATATTCAAGGGAGCATTTTTAACCATAGGAATAGCGGAAGAGGATAGAGACTATTTACGTTTTTTCTGGTTTCCAGATGAAAAGTGATTCAAAAAACTTACAAAATTTTACGAATGACTCGCGTTCCCTTTGGAAGTGACATCAAGCCCATTTATCCTTGCTGCGACTATTAAATACCACATTAGAAAATATAAACTTGAACAAAGCGAAACTTGTGAAATGCTTGACTCGGCACTTTATGTAGATGATCTTTTTTACGAGAGCAAATACAATAGAGAAATCTTTAGAACTTTCACAGAGCGCTGTAAAAATTCTTTTAAGAGATGCGAACATGAATTTAAGAAAAATTTAATACTAATTCGGATGAGTTGATGAAATTTATGGAGTGAACGAGGTTTGTCTGATGTGACAGAAACTAAAGAACGTCCTTTGAAGGTTTTAGGCATAATATGGAAAACCGAAGAAGATACTTTTAAGTTAGATGCAAAACCTCTACTGGACATGAATCTGTGATAGGAAGAATTCAAAACGTAGTGTACTTCAGACAGCTTCGAAGTTATTTGATCCTATGGGAATTGCATCATCTTTTATTGTTCTCATAAAATTATTCACGCAAGAAATATGGGAACTTGGTTTAGGATGGGATGATGAGCTATCAACTGACTTGAAGAAAAAATGGGATAATTGGTGCTCTCAGATTTATATGTTGAAAGATTTGACAATCGAAAGAAAATATTTCTCCATAGCATGGAAGTTGAAAGAATTAGAACTACACATATTTTCTGACGCTTCTCCTAAAGCTTTCGGAGCAGTTGCGTACTTCCGTTACGTGTCAAGTGATGATTGTATTTATACAAGTTTTATCACTGCGAAATCTAGAATCGCACCGCTTAAAAGGTTGAAATTACCGAGGCTTGAACTTATAGGAGCTGTTATTTCTTCTAGACTTTTCCAATATTTGAAAACAAATTTTAAATTTCCTTTTGTCCTAGGGTATATATGTGGACAGATTCCTTAATCGCTCTTCATTGGATTAAAGGGAAAGCTTCAAAATGGAAACCTTTTGTATCGAAACTCGTGTATCCGAAATCCAGTCTAGAACTGATCCTGCTGATTGGAATCACTGTAGTGGGCAGGATAATCCTGCAGATTTCATATCTCGAGGAGCTACTGTGGAAAAGTTTATGTCCAGTTCGATTTAGATGCAAGGTCCAGAATGGCTTCGGTTGAAGAAAAGGGATTGGCCAAAAGGCTCTAATTATGAAATTTGTCTAGAGATTTTTCCAGAAGTATATTGCGAAAAAAGAAGTAAACTGGAAGAAGCTATCGTCATTTGTGTGCGAAGCTGCAATCGAATTTGACACATTTAATGGATTTGAATAGATATAGTAGTTTAAGAAAATTATACCGTGTTACAAGTTGGATACTATGATTTATATACAACCTTAAATTTAAAACTAAACGATGTGGTGAACCAAGCCCTGAAGAACTTAACGAGGCTGAAATTATCGGGACAAAAACTGTTCAAAGTGAAGCTTTTGCGGAAGAGCTGTCCTCTTTGAGACAGGGTAAAACAATTTCTAAGACTTACTCTATTCTAGAACTGAATCCCTTTCTTAATAATGACGGGATAATGCATGTTGGTGGAAGACTTCAGAAGTCAAGACTTTCTTACCTTCAAAGACACCCAATTATTATGCCCTCAAAACATCACTTTGTAAATTTATTAGTGTGGGATGCACACAGCAAAGTGTTTCACGGTGGAATTTCTGAAACTTTGATAGAAATACGCGAAAGATACTGGATAATTAAAGGAAGACAAACTGTTAAAAATATCTTAAGAAAATGTATTTTGTGTAAACGATTTAATTCTTCTCCTAGTGTGCAAATTACTGCTCCTTTACCAGTAAATAGAACAGAAGAATTACCTCCTTTTTCTGTAGTAGGTATAGATTTCGGTGGATCACTTTATACCAAAGACAGTGATGATAAAAACTACATCGTGTTGTTTACTTGTGGAGTAACGAGAGCTCTTCATTTAGAGTTTGTTGGTAGCATGACCACAGAAACATTTCTTCTTGCTTTTCGACGATTCATTGCTCGTCGAGGTCTATGTTCTCAAGTTTTGACGGACAATGCTAAAACTTTCAAACAATCAGAACTTGAACTTAAAAATTTGTGGACTGTCATTAGTCATCCAACAGTAAAAGACTTTTACGCCTCCCACAAAATCCAATGGTGCTACATCGCTGATAAAGCTGTGTGGTGGGGTGGCTTTTATGAAAGACTAATTAAATCTGTAAAACTTGCTTTACGAAAAACTCTCAGAAAAACTACTTTATCTCGAGACGAATTAGAAACTCTGATTATTGAAATTGAAGGTGTTCTTAACTCTCGTCCTTTAACTTATGTTTATTCTGAATTACAGGAACCTATGTCTCTAACTCTAGCTCATATGCTATTGGGGCGCATGGTGAATAGTTTGCCTCTTATCAGGCTTCATTTTTATTTTAATTTAGTTAATAGGAAAATGCTAATTAAAAGATTTAATTATCGAGAAAGATTGGTAAGTGTGTTTTGGAATAAATGGAAAAATGAACACTTATTAATGCTGAGATCTGCTCATTGTGTTAAACCTTCAGGTAAAATTACTGAATTTAAAGTTAATGATATTGTATTAATTCATGATGAAAAGCTACCTAGACACTTTTGGAAATTAGGAAGAGTTGTAACACTATTTCCTGGCAGAGATGGAAAAGTAAGGTCTTGTGAAATTAAAACAGGTACATCAGTTATTAAAAGACCTGTGCAGCTTTTATATAATCTTGAAATAAATGAATAAATTTAATTGTTTATTATATGTTTATTAATCTGTATTATAGTTACAGGATTATTCCTGATATGTGGTGAAAGTTTTAATGTATGTACAGGTATTGAGTTGCCAGCTTATTATCTTTACCATACTTTATTGTAGGTAACTTACAAATTGTTTAAAGATGAATGATTTGTTTATATAGTAAATAAGCGTAGTTTCTTTAATATGTGAATTGATTGAACTTTACATTGTAAAAGTTTCCTTTGTTAAATTTGTATTAATGCAAGTGCTTGAATGAACCCCTGGTCATTCGGGGGGGGGGCAGTCTGTAGAAACTGTATTGCACCAGATGGCCCTGTGTGCGCTTGAATTCTTCGGAATAGTTTAGAACCTTGATGATTGCAAAAGATGTAACACCAACGTGAAACATTAACCAAAGTTGATATGTGCCTCTATTTGTGTCGTCAATAAAATATGTAGAAAATGATAAAAGACGAGAATGCGTCTGACAGGTAAGTGAGATTTCTTTATATATTGAATTGAATTGAGTTTTAGCGACAAAGAATGTATATGCGTAGTTACACCTGGATTCTAGGTCCAATTTGGGCCATAAAGTTTCAATTAAATTTATGTCAGACAATTGAGGCGGCGTTTTTAAGTGGCGAGGAGCGTTATAGAGTAACTATTGCCAAGCGAGGTTCACTGTATCCTTAGTGTCATTGAAACACAAATGGTGTTCCTAAGCCAAGTTTTTGGGCATTGAATTTCATGTTGTGGTACAATATGTTAATATACGTATAGCACAGGTTACACGTTACGTTTGCTGCCATACAGCCGCAAACTACGACGTTCCCTCCAATATGTTTTGCAGTCGGTGTTAAATGTTGTTTTTCCACTTCGGTGCTTGACTTTTTCCACACATTGTCGTCCATCACTCTCGGAAATGGTAAACTTTGATTCGTCGGACAAAATAACTGTTCCGAAATTCGTCTGATAAATTAATATGAGATTTTACAAAATCTAATCTCTTTCTGCTGTTTATTTCCGAAATGAAAGGTTTCTTTCTAGCTGCCCTTGCATAATAACTTCCTCCATGTCACACATTCCATATAGTCTGTACTCTGAAAGTTTTATGCGAAGTATTAACAACATCTTTGGCTAACCGAGGTGCACTTATGTTAGGGTTTCTCTTTACCTCTTTGATAATGGCACGTTTTTCCCTTGCAGAAAATATTCGAGGCCGTCCACTTCTAATCTTATTTTGCATCGATCCTGTCTCGTTTAACTCTTTTACAACACTTCTAACAGTAAATAACCTAATGCTCAGTTGTATTCCTATAGCACGATAAATTAAACCCTCATTTCTGAGCTTAATAATCATGTTTTTTATCATTAACATCCAACTCCTTCGACCTTTGAAGCTGTATTAGCAAAATAACATTTTAAAAGTTTTGAAGTAGCACTGCAAACTTTATACTTATCAATCTAAACACATGACTCAACATAACAAAATTTGCATAGCAGTTAGAAATTTGTCAATACTTTTTTGGCATGCAAATATACGTTTTTGTTGTATATTTTGTGTAAAGGGCATATTAAATTGAAGGTTTCATTAGATTTGTGCGTTTATTACCTCCTGTGTTCGTTATGCCCAGCTCAAATTGCCAAGCATTTCCTTTGTTAGGTAATATGATCAATTATAGGCAATTGCCAATACTTTTTTACCCACTGTAGTTATGTAATTCTTCGAATAATGCACTGTTAAAAGTAGTTTTTCTTTCTCAGGAAATATGGACAAGTTAGGAAAAGAATCTTCGGATGGATCTAAACAATCAGAAGATCATCCATCAACCTGCTTTACAAGAGAAGCCTGTAATGATTCTGTTAACTCCCAAACTAACGGGAAGAGAGCTTCCACACCAGGAAAAAGCCCTTTTAAATCTTCAACAGCCAGCCTCTTTACACCTCCAAACATCCATATAGGACATATGTATGTCTATAACATTACTCCAGAGCAATTAGACAGAAATTCTCTGTCTCCATTTGAAAGCCCTATAAATAAGATTCCTACAAAGTTTCAATCTCCAGCTGCAAGCAGTGGGCCCATATGTCGAATTTGTCATGAAGGTGACACCAAAGAAGATTTAGTTTCTCCTTGTCGCTGCACAGGTATAGTTTTTTAGTTGATAATTCAATTGCCGGTTTGAAGAAGGGAACGAATCCAAAATCATTTTTCTGTAAACATGGAAACATTTTTGTTTTTATTCCTGATTTTCTTTAAAAAAATATTTCTTTTGAACAACGTGTGTAATTTTTCGTTTCTCATTGGAAATTGAAGGCAAAGGGTTTTAGAAGCCAGAATTTAAAAGTAACTTAACAAAACGAAATGATGGATTTTTCCCTTCTTCATGCGAATGCAGGAAGCTAGAGAAAAAGTTTAATTTAGATTAAAAGAAGACTGATAAAAAAAAAAGAAAAGGAATTTATTTAAAACTTTAGATTGGGTCATAAACTTAGATATAATTAACATATTATGGGAATCTTCCTTTTATAAGATTGAAATTTTTCGATTTTTTTGAGCGCATGGGGTCGAGTTCCTCTACTCAAAAGACTGTGTGTGTACATTTCTGTCGAAAGAAAATTCTTCACCCTGACCCCGAACTTTATCTGCAAGATGTGCCGATTCCTGTAGAAAAGGAAATAAAATTCCTAGGAATGATATTTGACCATAAGCTTACGTTCCTCCCCCATATTACATATCTAAAAAAGAAATGTTTAAAAACTATGAATATTCTGAAAGTACTGTCAAATACTTCTTGGGGTGCTGATCGAAGCTCAATGCTTCTTATATATAGAGCTCTCATTCGTTCGAAACTAGATTATGGATCAATCATTTATGGGTCGGCAAGGCCTTCAGTATTAGCCAAACTTGATCCGATACATCACCATGCACTTCGGATATGCACTGGTGCCTTTAGAACTTCTCCAGTGGAAAGCTTATATGTGGAAAGTAACGAGACCTCCCTGCGGTTAAGACGTGAAAATCTTTGTTTTAAGCATTATTTCAAAGTCTTATCACAAACCGAAAATTCTACGCGGTCAATATTGCTTAATGACCAATACTCCCGTTTATATCAGGCACGACCATCATGTGTCCCATCTTTCGGCTTGCGGATGAGTGCTTTGGTGGAGGAGTATAATTTGTCTAATATAGATCAGATGGAGGATTTTTTTGGAATTCCTCCCTGGGAGGATTGGAGAATCCATTCTCTGGATACTTTTCGACACTGGAATAAATCACAAACTAATGAAATCATCTACAAGCAGATTTTTTTTCAACATAGAAACAAATATAGGAAATATATCCCTCTATATACAGACCCATCAAAATCCCAGGATCATGTTGGCGCTGCTTTCGTCACAGAAAAACAATAGTAGGGGTTCGATTACATACAGTTTGCTCTGTGCTTACTTCTGAGCTTACTGCAATCCATCTGGCTTTGACTTACCTTTCAAAACAAAAGTACACAAAATTTATTACCTACACAGATTCCATGAGTGCCTTAATGTCATTGAAAAATCACGCTCAATGTACTCATCCAGTTGCAATCAGAATCCTAAAGTTGAATCATTCTTTAAAAATTCGGGGATACCAGATTCTATATTCGTGGATCCCTGGACACGTTGCCATTAAGGGGAATGAATTGGCAGATATTGCAGCTAAAACTGCAACCACAATGTACAATCTTCAGATTCCACTAGCAGACATCAAAGGGTTTGTCAAAAGCAAAATCCTCAGCAAATGGCAGAAGCAATGGGATGACAGAAGTATGTAACAAGCTGAGAAATGTAAAACCCACCATTGGATACTGGCCATGTATGGCTAATAGAAAGGAAGATGTCCTCTTGACTCAACTGAGAATTGGCCATTGTCGCCTGACCCATGAGTATCTTCTGAAGGGAGAAGAGAATCCCAGCTGCCCAAACTGCAATGCAGATCTGACAGTCCATCATATCTTGGTGGAATGCCAGAGTTTTAATTATTTTCGCCAAAAACATTTTAATAGTTCAGAACTGGACTTAAAAAAAATTTAATTGGAAAAGCACATCATCGTAATTTGTTTCTGTTTTTAAAAGATATTGGCTTTTATAATAGACTTTAACCTGTTTTTTTTTTTTTTTTTAAGATATCAGCTTTTATCATAGACTGTAATCTGTCTCTTACCTAAGCTGGAAGTTTTTACAAATGACTAATTGCATTGTTACCATTTGTCTGGCGCAGATAACCTTGACAGGTTTTGTGCCAAATTACAATAATCCAATCCAATCCGTAAGTTTCCGAGTCGTTAAAGACACTGTATACTAATAGCTGGTCAGAGGTCCCAGTGGTTGAATGAGGTGATTGTAAGTAGTGTCTATGTTTTTCTTCACATGCAGTATTTGAGAAGAGAAAGTTTGTCCCATTTACACCACAAAGGCATGCGGAAAGGAGAGAGAAAATACATTATATACTTACCCTTTTGAAGGGAGACTGGGGATGAAGGGACCCAATCGCCAAATCTTGGTGGTGACGAATTTTCGTCCACCACCTTTTAGTTCGGGCGCCACTGCACAATCATTAGGGTTTCTGATGCTGGGGACGTGAAAATGTGCCATACCCTCGCCGGGACGCGAACCCTGGACTTCTCGAATACGCGTCGAGTATGCTTCCATTTACACCACGAAGGCATGCGGAAAGGAGGAAGAAAATACCTTTTAAACTGTTAATTCCTTCTCCAGAGCATAACCTTACATGTGCTTTGCCTTAATTAAATCAACTAAACAACTAATCATTTAAGGCAAAGCACGTTTAAGATTCTTTATATGTGCCTGTGTTAATTCAATCATCTAATTAATAATGCATTTCCAGTGTTTCATTATTATCTTTAAGGCTCTTGTAGAGGTCTAATTGAATTTCATGCAAAAGAATTGTTAAACATGGAAGACCCAGTATTTAGGTTTATCAATGAAATCTTTCTTGTTGAGAGATCACTTTCCAACGGATTTTCAGCGCTTAAAATATTCCAGAAAAATAAGGATGCCGACTTTCTAACCAAAGATGGCTGAAGAATAAAACGTCTACATTTTTAATTTTCTTTCGGATAACAAAGTAGATACTATAGAGAATTTTTTCGGGCCCACCAGCGGCTGAGTGGTAAAGTCGCTTAACACTGGTAGTTCGGTTCGAATCCAGCGAACGAGCTGGCTGCATGGGCGTTTTCGTGGTTTTCCCATGTGTAAGAGCCAGCCTTCCTTAGAAAGTCCTCCATGAAGGCCTCCTTTCCCTTAGGCAGATAACCCTCGAGTCTTTGCTATAATCACATAAACCAAACGACACAAAATTTTTTAAAGACCAGCATGTTCAGTATTTTGCAGAAAACACGCCAAATGTCTTGCTATGTTCTTCCGTTCCAATATGCTTCTCTTGTGCTGATTTTAAGGATTCCTAAGTTACCTAAGCCCGAGTGTTAAAAACCGCTAAATGAAATCCTTCAGGGCCCCTCTCCTTTCACGCAGATAGCCTCATGTCTTTGTCATATTCGAATAACTTAGCCTAATCATTTTACTAGACATGACTTTGAACAAAAATCAGCCCCGAAACAATACGGCTGAATTTTTAAATTTTTTTAAAGCTCCATCTAGAGAATTATTTTAATTATTTGGTAAGGTGTATCGCACTGTTTAACGTTTCATTATTGTTTCTAAGACAATTTTTACTCTAATCTTAATTTAGTTTCAAAAAGGAGTATGGTTGACATAGCTAATGCTTTGAAGCATTAGAGAGAAAGATTAATCAACGACTTAGTCGTTTGATAAGAATGTAACAAAAAAAAATATTTAAAGCAGAGAAAAATTAATAATACCACTATGAGTCCAAAACGCCTCCATAAAAAAAACAATTATTGCTCTACCTATTGCTTTACTTGGTGAGTACGAAAATGTAAAGACCGGATTTGTTTCTTTTATCAAAGTAGTGAAACATGCCTTTATAGTTTACACGATAAAGAGGTTAGTTTTCGCCTCTCTCTTTTAAAAAACGTGGACATATGAACCAAAAGAAAGTTATAAATACGAAGCCTTATTTTTATATCTTGTGCGTTTCAACTGTGAATTTACGAATCCACTTTACGTATCTTCACTGCATTTTAAAACAGTAGCAGATGTATATTATGATGCATTTTGTTCTTAGCCCTTTTCATCCAGCATTTTATTGTTACACTTTAATGAAGTTTAGTAAATTGAGTATTTCCTAATTTTATTCTAAATTTAAAATATTTGCGTCTGAACTAATCCGAACATAATGTATGTTTGGAACTTTTACGAAAGCATGGAAATAAATTACAAAATATCGTAACATTTTAATTAACATAGGAAAGAAAAATAAATTTAGTGAAGCTGATGTCATTGAAGGCGTACTGAATAGTTCAGAATGCCACTTAAAATTTTTAAATACGCCTTTATTATTTTTTTATTATTTCTGGCGTAGTTTATGCTTTTATTTATAGGAACAGTGGGCTTGGTTCATCTTACTTGCATGGAACGATGGCTTAGTACAAGGTACGAGACGAATGATAAATGTGAAATTTGCAATTACACATTTGCCACGGTTCGTTCTCCAAAGTCAGTTTTAGAGGTAACTATTTTCCTTACGTACATTTTTTAAATAATGCCTAATTGTACTGCAAAGCAGGGTACTTTTCTGTTTTGCCGACGCAAGCGATAAAGTCGCCAGTAATGGTACAACCGATGCGAAACGAAATATCCTCGCTGGTAACCTTTTACTTTAACTTTTACATTTTCAAAACAAGTCTCAGCCATTTCTTATCAGATTGATTGTTTCTTTCAATACTGGAGGCTTACCAGCGGCCGAGCGGTAAAGTTGCTGAACACTGGTAGTTCGGTCCGAGGTTCGAATCCCGCGAACGGGTTGGCTGCATGGGCGTTTTCGCGGTTTTCCCCATGTGTAACTCGTATACGAGCCAGTTTCCCTTAGAAAGCCCTCCACGAAGGCACCCCTTCCCTTAGGCAGATAGCCCTAGTGTGCTTTGCCATAATTAAATAAACCAAACCAAGCCTTTCAATACTGGCATACAATTACATAGAATTTTTACCAGATAGTTTGATTTTATCCCCTAAGGCCATTCGCGGGCGGTAATTAAGTCAATTGGGATGCAATCACATCACTCACCCGATGGCGAAAATATAGAAAAGGCAAAGTCAGTGGTTAAATTCATCAATTCTAATGAGAATGCACTAGCGAAGTAAAGCACTGCAGCTTTAATTTCTGAGTAAGCTATTCGTACGAATTGAAATAATTCTTGCATTTAAACTTGTATTCCAAATTAAGATTTAACTTGAAATTATTGTAGGTAATTACTGAGAGAATTAGATTTTTGTAGCGTAGTTTACGTGAGATGAGATCACTTGGGGTAACGTGATATGAACCGGCGAATAAGGATGTTGTACGATGAAAGCATAGTAAATTCTTAAATTAATGTCTTATTACAAATTTATTGTCTTTATTTATTGGCTTTTTTACAAAATTTTAAACGATATTAAAATATTTATACCTTCAAAATAAAAAATTCTTAGAACTAACATCTTTCAACACTTTTTATGTGTATACTGTGTGTTTTCACTAATAAAGTCTACTTGGCGAGATTTGTGCCGGCGAAACGGAAAAGTGCCCAAAGCGGTTATAGGGGATAAGTCAGAAAGTGTCAAAATTTGTAATCTGGGGGAAAATATCATTGTTAAATTTATTCTAGATGAAAAATAAATCGCTATTTTGAATTTCGTTTTGTTTCTAACCCTAGAAATACAATTCTATTTTTAAAATGGCTTATATCAAGATATGTACTACCCTTATTTTTTCCTCTCTTTTTAAAACATAATACTTAAATTTACATAAAGCTTTTAAAATAATAATTTTTCTGATACTTCGGTCCTAAAGGTGTAAGAAAGGAGAAATTTTAAAAAATATAGGTGCCAACCAAAATTACGTTCAATTGCCATTAACATAATATGAGACAGCATTACTATTCAAGGGCTAAGTGTTTAAGCTTCAGGAAACTTGGATTTGTCTATACAAATTAAATCTTTCAGATTTTTTCAAATCAAATTATTTTAAAAGAATCTAATGAATATCAAATAAATGCCATTATGTTAGCTTATTTTGATTTAAAATCAACGAATAATTTTATAACAATGTTGTACAAAGAAGGACGCATTTTTAATCGCTAAATAGAACACCCGAAAATGGATAGTTGTATTTTTTTACATTCGCATTAGAAGATATAAAATCAGGTGCTTTTCATGTGGTTAGCGCTTTTTTTTGGGGGGGGGCGTATTTCTTCGGCCTCAAGTGCCTCCAGTTTGATTTGGCTTCTCAGTTGGCAATAATTGACTTCATAACCTCGCGCGATTACGTTTTTTCATTTATTTAGTTTTTATTATTATTGGGATGGATTTCATTGCTTGGGATTTGCTGAGATAAATAAGCTGCTATCCTGTTCCTTCAAGGAAGATTTAGTCAAAAAAGGATTGCGTTCGAAATTAAGGGAGTGCGCAGAAAAGCTCTCCTTCATCATTATGCCGATTCCCTTTGCTAATTTTCATCTTTTTAATGCTACTCGGTTTCAGTTGGTTACTTTTTTAGCAAGGTGTTTAAAGTAGCATTAGTCTTTCAGAACAATGTTTAAAGAATATCAAATTTTACGTAAACTTCTTAAATTAGATATTTTCGCAGGCAAGCGGTTACAAAAGTCAACTCTTGAATCTTCTGCCACAAATATAGGCCTCTCAGTCAACGAGGATAAAACCAAATTCATGAAAATTACACTCGCCATGGTAAACTATCGTAACCAATTGTACATTAACGGCTAGAGCTTCGAAAATGTTTAGGAATTTAAATACCTTGGCACCATAATTAATGACAAAACTAAGAGCAGAGATTGATAGAATTAAAAGGGTTTATAAATGCTTCTTTGGACTAAGAAGATAATTAAGATCTAATATTATATGTCGCAGAATAAACTACGAATATGTAAGACACTAATACTAACTGTTTTACTTCATGCAAGTGGAACTTCAAATAAAGATATACAATGCTCTCTGGAACATGTTTCAGAGAAAAATCCTCAGAGCAATTTTAGGCCCAGTACAGGAACAGGGACGCTGGAAAGCAAGATTTAACTGTACATGCTTTATAAGCAAACACAAATAATACAATCACTCGTAGTAACAGATGAAGATGGCCGGTCCATGTTTGGAGAATATCGGAAGATAATACCAGTAAGATCTTGACATTCTTGACGGCTTCTAATCTAAAGAAAGACCACTGACTACATGGTTTGATAACATTAAAAAAAACTTAAAAAATAAGAAATTGTAGAGGAATCGCTGCAGACAGAAGTGGTGGAAGGAGCGCATTTTTGAAGCAGCCAAGGCCTGTAAGGGGCTGTTGTACTTGTGAAGAAGTCTCTCGTTAAAAAGAGTAATATTTCAATGCTACAAATTTCTTCATACGTGTATGGATAATTAAAACATCTCTTAAAGTATGATCTCTCACTGTAATGCATTTTGAATAGAAATTCCATTTGTAGATCACAAGCGTAAAGTATATATGAGTCATTTTTCTTTAGAAAGCCGTGCATGAAGGCATCTTTTTCCTTAGCTAAAGAGCTCTCTTGAGCTTTGCCTTAACTCACCAGCCAGTCATTTCCAAATCCTATGGACAGCTCTCAGTTACCAGGTTTATATAATTGCAGATTTACTAAAACCTAATTCCAAAAAAAAAAAAAAAAAAAAAAAAAAAAAAAAAATGAAGTTGCAGGACGTTGAAAAAATTACAATCCCAAATCATCAATGCAAAACAAAACTGTCTATGAAATCTGCATGGGATAACAGCGATAGAAAACGTCTGATAACGTTAGATCATATGCTAATGCTCATTTGTCTGACCTATAGTCAGCCAAAGCTCACGAAATTCCTCGTGGCAAGGAGCGCAAGATACGCCGACCGTTGGCAACAGCCTTGAGCTCCTTACAGGTGACACTACGATTTAGCTCAATTTTGCCCCAATTTTGAGAGGGCACCCCGGGGAAATTGAGGGTCTCTCACCCCCCTTTTTCCCTACCACCAACCTCTCGAGAGGACTTTCGACTCGCCGCATATTTAGTGTCTCCATGCCAAATGCAAAAATGACTCGCACAGGCACTATACATTTAAAAAAGCCATGCCTTCTCCGGAATTCGAACCCGAGCACTTCGGCACGGCAGTCAGCGATGATGCTAAACACTATACCGGCTGGGTGGCACAGCCAAGGCCACATAATCTGGAATATTGTTAAATTTCCGTTAAGAATATACTGTTCATTCATAAAAATAAATCAAGTACATAGCTATTAATCTTTAGTTTCATACTGACTCTTATCGAAATACAAGAATAATGTAAACAAATAGAGTGGTTCACCATGAAGAGAGAAGAAAGTTTGAACACAGTGACGATAAGTTCTACTGTAAATATTATTTAATGCCATTTATACTTTAAATTCTTTATTTCTAGTATCTTTGATTCTACTGTTATTTACAGTGACGCCTTATTTTTTATTTTTTTTAATTTTATTTATTTATTTTATTTGAGAAACTTATTCTTCACATTAAACTGGCTGAAAATACACGTTAATACACTGCTAAAAACAATTAGGGAATATTGTGAAACTGATATGAAGCAATCATCTAGTTTTTTAATAGAAAATGAAAGAAAGGAGGTCAAAATTGAAACATCCTCACGTTTACAAACTTCAGAATACGCACATTTTCCCCGTGATGTCGAAAATTATGTATTTTAGCTGAGGAGTATGCTTTGTGTAGAAGATCAGAAACAATTGTCATGTGTTGAATGCTTCGTAGGAGTGAATACTATGTCTGAACAACATGATTTACTTGAATTGTTAGTCTGTGGAAGTAGAAGCGGGTTAAATGCAAACTGTTTTAGCGGAAGTCCTTGAAGCATGCCAAAGTATAATTTCCAGGCTATGGAATCGATTTTTCGAAAACGGAAATGTTAAGAAACGTTAAAGTGCAGCAACACAAAAAGATAACCGGTATTTAACCGGCCAGATAAAACCGCAGTATGAACGTGACTCTTTCGCAACAGCATCTTTTGAGAGCTACTGATACACTGCGAAAAAAAAAGGGGGGACAGTTCTGTATCTTTCGTTCTACTGGGCCGATTGACGAAATTCAACTTGCTTTTTTCATGTCCCGAAAGCACGACTTAGGATATGTATCAGATTTATATATAGCATTGTTCTAGTATAGGTATTTTGACACAAAATAGGATTTTTTTCTGGAATGATATACAAATTTTTCCCCATATTTCGAATATATATTCTAAAATTTCGAATATATATTCCCATATATTTTCAAATTATGCCAAACTGCCATCTTTTGTAAAAATCGCCCCAGAGCAGATCTTTAAAAAATCAGCTCTCAAAATTTTAGCTCCTTCAATGTTAATTGAGTTTTGTATATATTTATTAATCTCTCTGTTTTTATTAAACTTATTTGATTCTTCCTTTCATATTTCAGTGCCCACCAGCGGCCGAGCGGTAACGTCGCTGAACATTGGTAGTTCGGTCCGAGGTTCGAATCCCGCGAACGGGCTGGCTGCATGGGTGTTTTCGTGGTTTTCCCCATGTGTAACGTGTATACGGGCCTGTTTCCCTTAAAAAGTCCTCCACGAAGGCATCCCTCCCTTAAGGCAGATAGCCCACGAGTGCTTTGCCGTAATCTAATAAACCAAACCAACCTTTCATATTTCAAAATTTAGTCCATTCCAAATAAAATTCGTCTATTTTTTATTTATTTTTAAATTTGTATTTTTAAATAATTTTTATAAATTTTATGAAAAAAATTTGAATTGTACACTACATTATTTTTGCCATCTTCTTAAAGTAGATGTATTTCTAAGTTCACTTGCAAAAAATTCGTTTTTTAATTAAAATTTCCTAAGATATACATGAATTTATATTTTGGCGCGTTTTTAAATTTGGTGTATTTATTATTAGTGATAATAACGAAAATGCGGTTTACGTACTTTGTTAAAATTATTTGAAAGCATGAACGATGACTTTTTCCCGCTCCTGTACAAGGAAAGGAAAATAGGTTGCTATAAATTAAGAAGTTCGCCAAGTGAATTAGTCTTAGCAAACTGAAAAAAATGCGCCAATATAAATTTTTAAATTTCTCCATAAATTTCAAAATTGACTATCTAGGCGTAATTTGAGCCGTAGAATCGAAATACTCAAAAAATCTAGCATGTCATTTCAAAAAAATTTCGAGTTTTGTGTCAAAATACCTATATTAGAACAATGCTATATACTATAAATTTAATATATATCCCAAGTCGTTTTGTGTATGCAAAATTTCGAGTTTTGTGTATGCAAAAGGAAGATATTTGGTTTCATTATCTTTGTTGAATTATGTCAGGCATATACTATTTACCACAAAAATTTCGAAAAGTCTCATTGGCTCCAAAAATGTGACGTGACTACCACTATAGTTGTTATTGTCGGATCATATGAAATTTTTATCAGCTGATTTAAAAGATTTTGTAACTTAAAACAAATTGATTTTCCAACTTGGATGATGCAGCCAATGCTAGTGGATTTGGCTGATATTTCAAATATGCAGAAAAAAAAAAAAAAAAAAAAGAACTCGCAGAAATGTAAAATGATGAGTCAATTAAAACGTTTATTTAATATAAAAAAGCGATGAACATAGCTTTGTGAGAAAACCAGAATCAGATATCCAAATGCAACAAAGTTTGCAAGAGAAATATTGTTAACCATTCTTTCATATTTTGCTGAATGCGGATTTAGTGCCATAAATGATTTGCTGCTGTAAAAAAAAAAAAAAAAAAAAAAAAAAAAAAAAAAAGGGTTGGATTTGAGACTCAAGTTATCTAAATTGGAACCTGACATAAAAATTTCTTTGCAGCAAGTATCAAGCGCAAGGAACTCGCTAAATTTAAATAATAAAAATTGCTAATATTTAAAATAAAAAACTTTCACCTCTTGAATTTCAGTTCTCCATGTTTTGAAAGTTCACTTACTGTGTTTGCTCACAAAATTTCGTAGTAATTTCTTCCTAAAAGCTATCATTCAAGTTTTTTTCGTGAATATTTCAATTTTTAAATATTAAAAATTATGTATATGCTGCTAGGGGAGGCGTAAAAATTTTAGAGAGGATTGGGTGGAGCATAGCACAAAAAAGGTTGGGAAACACTGCTCTAGAGAGAAGAGTTGCTTGTCGCTCATCACCTCTAAAAACAGCCCAGCTGTGGAATCAGCTCATCTATAGGAATGAGAAAAGACTATCTCAGTTTCCCCTTCATAACCTTTTTACTCACGAGTTTGCAATGTTGTTTTTGGTCAACGGAAACCGTAACGCTTGTTAAAACTCATTTGACTGAGAAATCAGAGTTTTTTATCGTTTTAACGACATTTACGAAGTACGCATTTTTTTGTTTGTTTTGAAGAAAATTTGGGAAGAAAAATTAATTATTCCTTGTCCCATGCGTAGGTTTTTTTCTCATAAATGCAGCCTATGCATCAAGTATCAGCCAACAAACGTTTCGTTCAACAAACAACAGTGTTTACTTCAGTTTATATCCGAAATCTTAACACCGTCTAATTGTTTTCATTAGTGTAGTATGTTTCTGTTAATTGTAATATGGGTCATTCTTGTTTCCTAGGCGCACCAGCGGCAGAGCGGTAAATTCGCTGAACACTGGTAGTTCGGTCCGAGATTCGAATCCCACAAACAGGCTGGCTGCTTAGGCGTTTTCGTGTTTTCCTCATGTGTAACGTGTATGCGAGTCAGTATCCCTTGTAAAGTCCTCCACGAAGGCATCCCTTCTCTTAGCCAAATAGCCCTAGTGTGCTTTGCTGTAATCTCAATAAACCAAACCATTCGTGTTTTCTGAGATATTTTAACTGCCCTCGTATTAACGTAATTTTGAGAAAATCATGGATATCGTTCCCAGAGTACTCCAGTAAATCAAGAGTTTGACTGCATTACTTTTCAGTTTTTTAGAAGATTCTAAAGCCCACCAGCAGCCCAGCGATAAATTCACTAACAGTGGTAGCTCAACCTGGTTTCGATTCCAGACGAACGGGCTGGTTGTTTGGGCGTTTTCATGGTTTTCTCCATGTGTAACGTGTAAATACGAGCCAATTTCTCTTGGAAAGACCTCCACGAAGGCACTACTTCACTTAGGCAGGTACCCCCTCATGTGGTTTGCCCTTTTCAAATAAACCAAATAAAACAATGTAACGACTGTTTTAATCTACAGTAGATATGAACATTTGAAATACGTTTAAATTCGAAGTTTTCTATATCACTGTTTTTCATTTTGGATATAGATGTATTCATATTGTTCAGCCAAAATTCAGTAAATGAAAGTTAATTCGGATGTTTCCCGTTATAGGACAACACGCATGGACAAAGATGTATGAGCTAACTTGATTCTTCTCCAAAAAAAACGCACATTTCCGTCATCAGGTTATTTCGAACACCATACTTTTTGAACCTAAGAAATAATACATCTGGTAGTTTAGGTATTTCAATAAACAAAGAACGAAGTAGAATGATATACTTCGTGAACGTTTTGTTACTTACAAAACTTACTTTGAAAACAAAAATGTCCATCAGTAGGCGAATGGTAAGTGCAGGGAACACTGGCAGTCGAGCCGGGTTGAAATCCCGGGGAATGGGCTCACTGCATGAACATGAGTTTGTGATTTTTCCCATGTATAACATGAATATGAGCCAGTTTCCCTTAGAACGTCCTCCACGAAGGCATTCCTTTTTCCTTATACAGATAAGCCCTTGCGTGCTATAATCTAACTAATGAATTTGAAAACAAAAATACTGTATTAAGAGATAAAAAGTAACGCAGTTAATTTAACGGTGGTCAATATCAGGCGTTGATACAAATAAATTTTTGTAGAACTTTGTTTAGTGCATGTTGTCTTATAACGGAAAAAATTCAAAAATTTCAAGAGATATAAAATAATCTCGAGTCTATATTAGAGGAAAAATACGTACAGTTTTGTGCTTAGCTCATCTTTTACGACACTTCTTTATAAGTCTCTTGAATTTTCAGATGTAGTTTTTTTTACATATCTAAGTCAGTTCTCTTTATTTTTTAAATTACAGTTTTAGTTTCTCTGGAAACAGATTAAAATTTGTATAAGAATTTTACATCGATATTTTTGAATTACAGCACTTTTTTTTTCCAGACAATACTAGTGTATTAATGTTCGTATTTTACTCGAAACCTGATTAATAAAATGTTATGCTAAATTACTTTACTAAGACTAGTTGGCACAGTCGTTTTCTCAGTCGAGTTTTATTGTAGAGTTTTTCTAATATTCGTGTATTAATAATCTTCTTATCTTTGAAAGTATATTCGCAGTGATGAGAACCTTATGCAACGTCGATCTCTTATGGGGGACATGACGTGTTTCCTTTTGCTAACACCTTTAGCAGTCGTAAGCAGTTTCCTCTGTGTGGAAGGAGCTAAGAAACAAGTAGCGTGGGGCAACAGCCTTGAAGCAGGATGTCTCATGGCGCTAGCAACCTTTCTCGTAACTATGTATTCTATCTGGAATATACTAACTTTCAGGTTTGTTTTTCATTTTAAAAATTCTAGTATTATACTGGTTTTTATTATTTTAAACTTTCTTGAGTTTGATACAGATTGTTCTCCTTAAATCTGGCAGTCTTAGGACTGACTGCCAAACCACAGAAAATGGCGGAAAAGAAAGATCCACATTTAAGAAGAATAAATGTTATATTTAGCAATAAACATATGTCTAACCCTCGAACTGGTCAAATTATTCCAAATATATATTGCTGTGAAATCCGAAATAAAATTCACTTTAAATAAACAAAAAAATACATTCACAGTAGTAATCTAGCTTCATTTCTGAATGAAACACTTCAGCCTGCTCTGTAAACGAATCCTCAGACAAGCTACCATCTTTATTATATCGAAACTTAAAATACTTTAGAAGTGCATTGTCTAATTTTCAAAGTTCTTATTCAAAGTTTTCAACACTTTAACTCCTTATCAGAAAGACAGGGGAAAAAAAAAACCTTCATTTCGGTAAGTTTTGCATAGTTGATGTACTAACCTCGGTAAGTATTTACACTATGCCGTTACAGATGTTTCTGTACCTTTTTCGCAAACTCTAGAGTTTCAAAAAAGACAAGGACTTATGCCGGTGCTTATTACCACAAACACCTTCTTCTGCACTTAGCTGACATTAAGGCCTATATGCAGCCAAATACGAGAAACCAGTAGTCTTTCAGAACTCCAGCTGCAGCGCAATCAGATTTTTAAATCCGTACTAATAACAGTGCCACCCTGGTGACAGATCCAAAAATTAATATCGGCAGTTTAAAAACTCGCCAGAATATGAATTGCCAGAGCCCGATTTAAAGGAGAACTGCCTGTATTATGTTGATCGAAGTTATTATTCTTAATTTAAATAATTTCGTTCTATGTTAATATTACGTACACTTTTATATTCATCTAAAATTAATTATGGTCATCCGAAGCTATTTTCCTCATAGAAGTTAATACGAATTGGCTTAATCCATCCCTGAACCACAGATGATTGCTTATTTAAAAGTTACGGCCCTACTTCATATACGCGTTCATCGTAAAATCAATGGACAAAGCACAAAAACAATGTAAATCACTAAATCTAAGGAGGAAAAAGTAAACATAGTATTAAACAAATTAAAATAGACGAAAATTTAATTTTACTGTAACCGTACGAATAAGCGTAGATAGCATATTATGGCAAAGCACACTGGGACCTTTATGCCAATATGGCAGCAGAATGGACCAATCACAGCGAAGCAAACACAAACTGACATTTGGTTGACAATTTCATTCAGTCAGCTGCGTATTCAAGTTCATGTACAATTTTATCTTCCCTGAGTTGTCATGCTTAATATACATTTCTAAATACACTTTTAATTGCAAAAATGCTGTAAATAAGAAAAATTCACATTATGGTATTTTTGAATTTAGAAATTCAGCTTTGTTAAAATTATAAAATTTACACTTTTCTATGATAGAGGCAGATAGCCCTCGAGGCTTTGCCATAATCACATACACACTATGATACTGCGACAAGGTAGCATAAATGTTACTTGTCTGGTTTCGCCCACGGGAATCAGACTCTGAATGCAATCACGCCGCTTTCATACCAGAGGGAGCAATCCAGTTGAAACAAGGTCACATTGTTACTTATTCTGGTTCCACCGTCCAAGGTCACCCCAATATTTCTTGCTATAGAAAATCTTTCAGCGGAGTCAGAATGTGTTCTCCTTTTGTTGTTCCCTACCATAGAAGGACCCCCTCCAATTTAGCAGAGAACTAGCGACACCGAGAGTCAGTCAAGTTCTTGGAGCCATAAGCAAAGGAGATTTCGGAAGAGCATCGGCTGCTTGGACCTTCCTGCTGGGACTATGAGAATTTGCACATGGGGACTGTGACCACTTTAGGTGTGGTGTTGACCTAGCACATTCCTGTCGTAAAACTTTCTGAAACTTCTTGACTGAGAAATCATTGTTTTTCCCAGATGGTTTTTAACCGCACCTGTTAAAGTCATGTTCTTCATTAAAATTCATGTTGTCCTTTATAACTTGAGTCGGGAGTTCAATTCAGCCCTGCATTACAACAGGGGCTTTAGATAGCAGGTTCGACTACTAACCACAACAGTAATATTGTAATTAGTGTCAGTGTTTGGTATTATTCCTGAAAATCAATTTAGGAATGAACTCGTCTGTGGACTTCAGCTAACATCAAATGCTAGTTTCCGTACATCCTCTTGTGTGAGTGTTCTGGATCGTCCATGAGAAGTTCCAGAAAAGGCAGTGTTGTTAAAGATTTTGTGTAAGTAATCAGGAGACCTTCTCTGCACAAGAACAGTCTAATTTTGCCTGAAAGGACCGCGTGTATGAAGGAAATGCTAAAACGTGCGATCTAGTGCTGTAGAACAGTGGAGTTTTTTCGGAGAGATACCTGTACCCAAGTGCGTTCCAGTTCCAGTAGAGTCCAGTAGTCATTGAAGATGTCTCCATATTGGTGAATACCATTTTTGTGATTTTAGAAACGTTTATGCGAGTTATCGAGATAGTTCATTAGGACTGCATGCCTAGGATGAGGGATGACTTAGTACAGGACTTTCAAACTGTCTCGTATCCATGTTACACATAGAGAAAACCACGAAAACGTCCATGCAGCCAAGCCCATTCGTCTCTATTCGAAAACTAGGTCGGAACAACCAGTATTCATGGCCTAGCCCCTTGTGGGCCTCAATATAACTGGAAATTGATGATGAAGAGAAGAAAAGAGATTTTATTGCTTAGATGAAACGTTTTCTTCCACAAAACGGCTGTTAATTGTCTTTTTGCCGCAGCACATTTTATAATTTCTTTGTTTCTTAGCGCCACTTGATTCTGCTTAAGTTCCACTGGTCCCCCGTTTAACTTAAAATTTGTTCAGCGGAATTTGTTGTCCACGTTTTAAAATATCTCTAAAGGGAAATTTGTCATTAAAACTACTTTCTTGTATCTTGCTTTATCACAGTGATATCATTACGTGAAACTTTGTATCTTTCCTAAACATACACGAATCTTTATATCTATATATATATATATATATACACTACTGGCCACCGTAAGTGCAACACCCTGAAGGAAGCATGCAAATAACATGAAATTTACAACATGCATTAGCGGAGGTGAGATATGCAAATGATTAGAATTTCAGCGCAGATGCATATCACGCGCGCCTGTGGCACCACTTCAAAGCGCTATTTAAGGCTTGGAGTTTTCGACGATTTCAAGTTCGGCAATTGTGTTTATCTTTTGGTTTTTTTCAAAAAAAAACGATTAATTATGCCGCGTAGTAAACAGCGATCATCGTTTGATCAAGTATCCGAGTTCGACAGACGAAGGATAGCGGCCACCCGAGAGTGCGGATTATCTTTCAGAGAAATCAGTAGTTGTATTGGACGAAACAAAACAACTGTAATACGGATATGTGACAGTTGGATGCAGGAGGGTACGACGGACCGACGTGTTCGATCGCATCCACCTCAGTGCACCACTTCACGTGATGACAGGAACATTGTGCGCATGGCAGTGATGGATCGCTCAGTCACATCACGAACCATAACACAGCACATTCAGTCTGTAACGCATCATCCAGTGTCTGCGCGTACCATTCGACGCCGTTTACAGCAGAGTGGTCTGTCCGCAAGACATCCACTGCTTCTTCTACCCTTGACGCAGAACCACGGACGTCTCCGCCGCCAGTGGTGCGATGAAAGAAGGATGTGGACGGCAGAATGGAATGAAATTGTCTTTACTGACGAGTCACGCTTCTGTCTGCAACACCACGATGGTCGAATTCGAGTCTAGAGACACTGTGGAGAGAGGATGCTGAACAGCTGCGTTATGCAACGCTACACTGGTCTTGCACCGGGTATTATGGTATGGGGCGGTATTGGATATCACTCTCGCACTCCTCTAGTACGCATTGCCGGTACTTTAAACAGCCAGCGCTACATCTCCGAGGGGTTGGAGCCAGTTGCCCTTCCTTACCTTAAGGGCTTGCCCACAGCCATATTTCAACAGGATAATGATTCGACAACACGTGGCACGCATTGTCCAAGGGTTCTTCGTCAATCGCCAGATTGAATTGCTTCCCTCGCCGGCTCGCTCTCCGGATCTTTTGCCGATAGAAAACATATGGTCCATGGTTGCTGAACGATTGACCCAGATTACATCCCACGCTGCCACACCAGATCAACTTTGGCAACGTGTGGAAGCTGCTTGGTCTGCTGTACCCCAAGAACACATCCAGTCTCTTTGAATCAATGCCGAGGCGTGTGGCAGCGGTGATCTCCAACAATGGCGGCTACTCTGGCTACTGATTCTGGAAGGAACCGCACTTCACAGAAGTCTATAAATTTAATCATTTGATACTTGGTCAACATGTTATCTACTAAATAAATTTTGTTGTGATATCTCTTGTCTTTTTAGTGTTGCAATTTGGATAACCAGCAGTATATATATAATGGTGGGCACTAGACATTCTTAGGCTTTCGCCTCTACTAAGACCAGAACTGGTGGTCATTTTATTATGAAGGCACCTTAATAGGCGGCCACGGTTACCTCCTATGAAGAGACAGACAATTTACATCCATACCTTTTCCGGGATTCGAACCCGCGTCTTTCGGTATCGCAGTCTGCTTCTGGCCAAATTGGTTCCAGAATCTACAAAGTAACAGAGTTGCCCAGCGGAAACTGAAAACAATAATTGACTAATGTACTAGCAATCTTCTGACGCTGGAAGATAGTAGCCATAAAGTACAAACTTGAGTCGTGTCTAACACACATTAGGTTCTAACAATGCCATTTCTAAGCACAGTCTCTTAGAAGAAGAAGAAGAAGTTTAAGGCATTCCCCGTATCGAGAACTCAATCTCATTCTAGTCCACTCCCCCTTCGGGCACATCATGGTGGTTCAACCTCCACTATTACCCTCCAGGAGAGCAGCGCACCACCTGGGACGCACCCGAGGCAGCAGTTCTCTTAGAAA